TTAATATATTTATATAAAAAAATTTAGATTTTTATTATTTAAAAAATTTTTGTTTATAACAATAAAACTAATAACAAATAAAATAAATAATCTATAAAAACATGTTGCTCAATAAAAACAATATGTTATGAACACAACTTTCACATGTATGTAGTTTGTTTAAAGCGTAAATATTAATATATGTTTTTTGCCCTTACAATCTCCTTAAAAGATAATATCATTTGGATCAATTAAGAGATTAAGAAAACTTATAATTAAATCATTAAATCAGGAAATAAAATCTAAATCATAAAAAATTACAAAATTAATTATTCATTTCAAAGATAAGATATTCGAGATCAAATTAATAATTTTTTTTTAAATTCTACCTAAACTAGGTCCTGTGGAATCAATGAAGGGCTCGAACATAAAGTACCAAAATGTGATGCAGAGCGGATTCATCTGTCGACTAACCAACTGAGCGGTACCACCTCCAGATGATCGCGGACCACCTCGAAGACGTCCAAGACCCAAAAAATATTCGTTGCGTCGATTAACTGTATGTCCACTGCTATACGGTTTTCTTTGATTCCTCGGGCCTAACACCTGAGTAGATACCCTTTCCCATTCGACACGATCTGGATCTCGCGAGTTGATCCATTCACATTCATCAATCTCAAAAGTGCAATCCCGCGATATCGGAGCAGCCACTTGAGGTGAAACTATCAAATCAATACAAAGGGATTAGAAAATCAGTTTGTGAAATCAAATACTCATCGATGTAATAAAGCAAGAGACACGAAGTGTTAGTTTAATACGAAACGATTGATACATAATATTTCTTACCTCTCTGAAAGCGTCCTAAGTTTGATTCCAAGGTTTATCTTATATGTTAACTTTTCAAATTTTATTAATTCATCGTTTTTTTATCAAATTATAGGTAAGAAAACAAAGGAGATAAAACTGTGACTGCGATTTTCTCGCGATTTTCTCGCTTCTTACATATATTAAGATTATTTTGGTGAAAATAATTGTAGAGAAGTTTTTAAAAATGCATTTTAAAAAGAAAAGATTTTTTTTTCTAAAGTAACAAATTTTGTCTGTACGAAATTTTCCTGGATTACATTAAAATTCCCGGTGGGGCCCGCGTTCTTCGCGGCTCCGTGGATTGGACTACCCACCAGGCGCGTCTCCTGGTGGCGGATCGGAGGACGTCCGGAGGGGGTATCGGTCTCTCGGGTGTGAAACCCTGTGTGGAGTTAGGAGTTCCTCCGGATAGTGGTGACTATAAACGGTTCCTCAGGTATAAAACCCCACGCGGAATCGACAAGGCCGCTGTCGCGGACCAACCCTTCCTCGCCCCGTCAAGTTAGGAGCTATCGAAGTGAAGGCTGCATGGGAAGCAGTGTCGCTGCCGATGCCTCTGGGGAACCGAGTAAAACCCCAGAATGTTAGCATGGAGGTCGAGGGCTCGCACAGCGGGACCTTGGGGACTGAGGCTAAAATAACTGTGATCGAAGGAGCTCGTTTGGATCCTGGAGGCACGGCGGTCTCGAAGTCAGAACCAGCCATCGCTGAAGATTGTCTTCTTAAGAACTGCAGCGGGACAGAAAAAAAGAAGGCCAAGCGGGGGAGCGGGAGAGAACGCTGAAAGGGGCTCCTTCCTGCTCTGCGAGTTCTCCTCGCACACAAAGAAGGGCACACCGACGGTAAACGTCGGAAGGGCTCCAATGAAACCCCTTTTTCGGTAGAAAGACCTAGTAAGGAGCAATAGGAACCTATGCGAACGCCAATTAATTTAAAGTTTTATTTTTCTTCTTTAAAATGCGTTTTTAAAACTTTTCGACATTTTTTTTCATCGAGATATTTAAGTTTTTGGAAAATATAAGAAAGCCGTAAGTGTTCCCGAATTTATAAACGGTACTATATTTTCAACTTATTAGAAAGAGAATCTCGACTTACTACAATTAACGTTTATAAGGACAGTTTTATGCGAGCAAATTGAAATCTAATTTCTCGTTTTAATATAAATTTTAAACAACACTCAAGAACCTACCAGGGCAAGCACCTGGTCCATACGAAATATCATCGATTGCGATGTCTCCCATGCCAGTGATTCCTACTGACGCTTCGAAAACTAGCTGATAATTATCGAGGGAGCTGATTGTAACTTGCGACATGAACCAGGCATTGCCCGCGTTTCCGGACAGATCCCAAATCTCTTGTAGCTGTGTGTCTGAACTACCAAAATGACGTAGAAATAACTTTAGATAACCGATTCCAGTTCCAAACATGTGGAACCAGAAATGCATGCACATTGGTGCATCCAACATTGTTGCCGGGAAGTTTGAACTTATGAGTTTCGCCGTGTCGCCAGGTCTTCGCGGGAATCCGGAATCGATGAAAGCGTAACCACCGGCTGTGGCACGGTCGCTGGAACTGTCCATCGCTGGACCGGTCGTGGGATTTCCGCTTCCGCGACTCTAAAAATATACATTCTCAAATTATCAACATATAAGCGCAGAATAATAAAGTTACATAAAACTTGGTAGCGCACTCACTATAGTCCAGTCGAAATCATCTTCCGCATCATTGTTCCAGTTACAGAAATCACCGGCAAAGTTACAGAATCCAACGCACGACGTACCAGACTGCAGATCTATGTCATCGATAGCGATATATCCACGATACAGACGCGACGGATCCGTGGAGTCTACTGGCACGCCTTCAATAACTATCTAATTGGCAAAATTTTTATTATTTTCTAAAGACACTGATAATATTATGAAACATGAAGCGCTGGAAATATGAGCAATATATAGAAAACTATAGTTTAGAGGAAAAGTTTGGTATGTTCCAATTATATTATATAATGTAGGAACATAATCATATCTCTTCATAATACAACTCATCATATATAATATTATATAATGAGTTGTAACTTTGACAAACAAATAAAATAATAATATATTTGTAAATGAATTTAAAAATCTCTATAATATTAATTTTTTCGTCGAACAATTTATATTTTCAACTTATATCTGTTGAACAATCACTATGCTATTTGAATAAATTACAAAAGCAGTTGGAAAATATTAAATGTATAATTTCTCCAGTATCAATTTAATTTTAACGTAAAGATAATTTTGATTTTCTGTACTAATTATAGCACTTCGCGTTTACTAATTAAATTTGGCTGAATCAAGTTATACAATAATATACCGAGTGTAATTCAGGGTAAGTATAAAGTATCTGAGCCTGCTGCCATGCTCCGAGCGTGTAATACTGTGCGTGCCACATTACGCGCTCTTCTATGATTTCTGGTAGTTCGCAAGACACTGTGATATTTTCTACAGGCAATTCCTCTGTCACATCTGGCTGTTTCTTCTTAAATGAGAACTCATCCGTTCCAACGTGAAGCAGCACTCGTAGTCCTGCGATACTAAGACCGTCCATGGTGTATTTGAACATAAAACAAGTGCCAGATACTCCGGTGCTGCCCAGTTGTGGACTGTGTAAAAGACCTCCGGGACTTTTGAGCTTCAGATCCTTTGAAGGTGTCTGTGATGTCTCCAGAAAGGCATATCTAACAGATTGATCTATGTTCAAGATTTTCCAGTGAAACATTAAATGATAAACCTAACATAGCAAGACTCATATTATAAAAACACAAGTAGCGTGAAATATACATATAATAGAAGTTATGTACCCTATGGAAAGGATATATAACTTCTTTACAATACAAAGAAGGAATCTATGTCATTTTTCTAATAGTCGTAATCTAATATAATTGTAGTTAAAAATAAAAAATCTTAATTTAATATTTAAAAAAATGATTCTTGTTGTATATTTCTATCATATTAGTTAAATAGTAAATATCTTCAGCGACTTTTTTACCCTCCTTCCATTAAGCCGCTAGCATCGGCCGATGGTCCACCCAACCAGTTGGTATCTGTTCCAGTTCCTGAAGTCCAATCCAAAGCGCCATTGCCATTTTGCCACTCGCAAAGTGGCATTTGTACTGACCCGAAATCACAGAAGGCTTCGTCGATAGTGACCGTCGGTGGTGGTGCAGTAATCGTAGGAAATCTTACAAACATAAAATTGCGAATAGCATATCAAATTTGTTGATTTCACGATTAATGTCGTAATATCTTTATATTATAATCGTATAAAATTTTATTAAATTTATCGAGTCATATTTAAAGTAAAAATCTAATCAAAATAATCAAAACTAATTGAAAAAATCTAGTTCTGTTGCACATTCGTATCCCCAAGATTCGTGAAAAGCACCCTCTTTTTTTATTGCTTATTATTCAATAGCTATCGATGCTGAATACATTGATATCAATATATTCGATACAAATGTTTGTACTGATCTTCTTAGTAAAGGAAAAGCTCTTCTTTTTTAAAAGGAAAAGAAACCTTTGTGTTGAAGGATTTCTTTGCGCTAACGTTGTAGGCTGCGGGGATCTAGGCGGCAAAGATCTTTCCGTGGTGAAAGGTGCGGTACTGCGGGTCGGTAGGATATCCGGTTTGCCTGGCCACTGCCTAGGTTCGATGCGCTCTACTTCGTCCAGCGGTTCTCGGTCGCGATCGACGGAATTGATGGGAGATTGCCCTGAGTCAATCAAATCGACGGATTCAGGTCCATCAATTGAAACGCCATTGCTCGCAGTATTTCTTGTCCAGAGAGGACTAGTAGAGTTAGTATCCACGAGATCTATTTGTTCCCCGTGCATCGCCTTCAAGGTAGCTGGAGGATACCAAGTCATACTCCACGAAGGATATGACCAGCAGCTTAATAACAAGATCCACCACATCTTCGGATACGATTACGTTTCTTGAATTTATTTTGCCCCTGCAAAGAGCGAGTAAATTAAAATTAAAATCAAAGATTCAATTTGTAAAAGTTTTACTACAAAATTCTAACTTCCTCGCAATTCAAAATGATTCTAAATAATCTTCTATTCTATTAAAATAGAGATTATATAAAGCCTTTTTAAATTGTAAATAATTTAATACTTATTTATGTTAATTATATTAATAGCTATAAAAAAAGATTAAAATTTAAAAATTTGCCCTTTAAAAACATTAAAATTCTTAAACATGTTTTTACTTTCTTTCATTTATTTATTTATTTTAAACTACTTCTATTGGCAGTTAAACGTTAAAAGAAGAAGTAGCTATATATCTTATAACTAAAAATTAACAAAGTAAAGTCTAATAATATGTGCAGAACAGAAAGGGACAGAGAGAAAAAATCATAGATTAAGTATTTAATTTCACAGAATAAACTCCTTATGATATTTTCTTATAATTCTCTTATTATGGATAGGACTTACACTTCGACGCACGTGTCATGTATCGTCCACTACTCGATGATCAGGATCTTTCAGATATAATGATCTTAACATGGAGTTTGTTTGGCGGAATTTTATCTCACTAAAAAAAAGTAATGATTTTATACGAAATCGTAAGTCTGTTCTTTCAACTGAACTTTTTGCTTGATTCATCAAAAGAATTTTTTTTCTCCACATTAGAGAAAAAAAAGAGAAAAAATAAACAGATAGAATCGTTTATAACAGAACCCAAAAATTATAAGCGCCAAATAAAAGTAAATCCTCAATTCACAAAATCCTAAAAACTCAAATACACTTTTAAACAATAAATACACATATAAAAGTAAACTACCTATTACAGATTTTCAGTTTGCTCTTGCACTAAACACTTTTTTATTCCTTCAAGACATTTCTTTCAATTCTCTCATACTGTATCAAATAATATTAATGTCAAAGAGTTTGAAATGGCAGTAAAAAGCCTGACAAAGTGATATCTGTACTAACGAGATGTGAACTGTACGGTTTTTCAGTACCCTCACATGGGCATAAAACGAAGTGGTATACATACAGTTCCGGTCTTAGCTTCCGGTTGTTACGCATCTCGCATTCGCGGGAGCCCGATAGCAATTCGTCGAACAATGAAATTCCATCGAGGCAGAATGCCGTAATAATAAGATAAAAATCTAATCGTTTCCATTGGCAGTAAATCGATTCTGTATATCGCTTCTCAAACGACAGGTTTTCAATTACTCAGGTGTGATATATATTCATCGTTCATAATTTAATTTCTTCTCAACAATTAATTAATACAAAGCATCATTAGTTAATACAATAAAGAGCTTGCGCAATGTGTATATATTATATATTATGAAACATGAGAAGTTATTTTTAGCTCAATCGCATTTTATCTCTAAAAGTTCCACAAGGAGTCATTTAAACAAAGAGATTATATGTCATCTAATTTAAATGTGTGCCTTCTTTATCACGCTCTTGCATGATTTAAAAAATAATTTTTGGAAATGTCACTGTATAAAAAAAATTAATATTAACAATTGAATAATACAAACTTAATAATTGTTTCACGCGCTTTAGTGTAAAGATAATTTCATGTACGAATTTTAAAAAATGTTTAAATTATGCGAGATCTAATTGGCATGCAACAAAGATCGCTTTTGCGAAAGTCTTGTTAAGATTCTCCTAAAACCATTTGATACACGTTTTTCATTTTATAAAGCAAATTTTTGTATATGTGATATCATTTTTTTAGATTGTTCGTTAAAATGTTAAAATATTAAAATTTTGATTCGAAAATTCTGGATTCAGAAATTTAAAAAAAACATGTGGTCTAAAACTATCATGTTCTCGTTCAACGAGATTAATGTCACGCCCAAGATTCAAATATACTCGAATAATGTAAGGTACAAGGAAAGGGCAAAGCACGAGCTGATCAGTACGAGGTCGACATAAACTGTTCTTTCTCAACATCTTCGATATTAGATTCACAATAAATGATGACATCCACTGCGGTAAAGGCTTCGGCGGGCTATTATGCACTAATTTCGTAATTTCCGCTAGACTCTGAAATGATAATCAAGCGCATATTTATTTATATGAACAATACAAATATTTTACATTTTGTAAAAATGTCTTCATTATTCTTTGTATTAAAAAAAGTTTCTCATAAACATTCTTTATGTACTATATTTAATAATATCACTATTTTACATAATATAATATTATATACATATGTATAATGCGCTTTTAATTTTGACTATATATCTCGCCATTAATTAATTTAATTTACCGTGGCCGGAAACGGAAATCTCTTCGTAACCATTTCGTACAGTATAACGCCCATGCTCCATATATCACACTTAAGTTCATACGGCTGTACACTTAGCACTTCCGGAGCCATATAGTAATAAGATCCTGCGTGACAAGTTATCGCATCTCTATAAAATAAAAAAAAATAACAATTTTGTACAAGATACAATAAAAATTGTGATAGAAATTAAATTTAAATTTAAAAAATTAATCCAGAAAATGTAGTAATTTCAATGATACTTATTGATAGTTTTAGAATAGTAGTTTAACAATTCAATATTGCAATGAAAGTACAACTTGTTAAAATTAAAATTGACTCCTTAATGCGTACTCTTGGATATTTTTTGAAAGACCAAAGTCACCAATTTTAACGATGTCCCCACGGCTGCCAGTTAACATGATATTTTCCGGTTTTAGATCTCGATGAAGAATTTTGTTCGAGTGAATGTGATGTACTCCCAAAGTAACTTGCGAAAACAGATACAATGCATCCTAACAAAAAAATTTTTTAAATCTCTTTTTTTCTATAATTAATGCGTTTGTTTTTGTAAAATATTTACAAAATTATTATATTCTTTAAATACATTTTATTGATCATAAATATTGCAAATATGTCTAATTATAAACAGAATATAAATTAAAATGCTGATAGCAATTTAATTTTTGTAAATTACGATATACACACAATAAATGAATATTACTTTAAAATATACAATTTCCTATACAATTCCAACATAACGCAAGTTTGTACTTGTCGAATTAAAATTCTGAAAACATCTTTCGTGATAATATTCAGATTACTAAAATCTAATAATATAGAAAATTACCTCCTCCTTAAGTGGTATTTCTCGTTTTTCTAGCAAATCCTTGAGAGTACATCTAGTTGCATATTCAAGAAGGATATAACTGTAATTATTATTTTTCCATGCTCCATAATAAAACACTATGTTTGGATGTCTCAATTTTTGTAGACATCGTATCTCTCCTAGTGTTCTCTAAATTACAAAATATATGTCGAATTTTATATTTTACCTTAAAAAATCGATATTATATAGCTATATACCTCAGAAGGCGAGTGGTTTGCTGCATTTAAATCTTGTGCTTTTATAACAAATGGCTTTGAGTCTTTCTTCCTTTTCACTAAATATACAGTTCTAAAAATACACATTATTCTATAGAAGATAAATTCAACTTGTACATATATAGTCACATATTTATTTCAAATAATAATATACCCAAATGTTCCCTTTCCAAGTATGCTTTCGAATGTATAGTCATCTATGTGCACATCCATCTTGGTTTTCACAAAATAAGAAACTGAAGGTTTAAAATTAAATTTGAATTTCACGAAATTGAATTTCATCTAAGAAAAGTAAAAATATTTTGATTGTGATATGTAGTTCTGCTTATTGAAGGACTATTCAATCTGTTAAGGTAAACTATACATATAAACAGAAATATTTTCTTGTATGTTTTACTTTTCCAATTTTTTTTTAAATAACATAAATTTATGTGCTGCTTACACAATATAAAGGATAGTTATTACTATTTGAGGAGTTTCAAGGAGTTTGAATAAGTAGTTATTTATTTTAAATTATTCTCCATATCTTAAATTATTAAATTAAAAACTCTGAGAAAATGTTTAATCGAATTCTTAAAAAAACTCAAACATTTTGTTCTAAATTTTAAGAATAAAAAAATGATATATATTTAAAAAATCTTTTTACATGTATATCTCACTTATATTATGACAATATTTGGATGGTAAGTTAAATGTCGACAAATTAAAATTACAATTAAATGATATTTTATTTATATTCTTTTTTTTACAAATAATGCAATGCAGATTTTTCTAAAGCGTTGTGACCTAAACTATATCAAGAGAAAACATCACGATTATCAAACAATATATATTCTGCCTAAAAACGGATTGCATATTTTATGATGAGATAAATGTCAAACCACAAGAGGAGTATAACATAGATTGGTAGTGGTTATTATAGCAAAACATTTCTCTTTTTAACAGTCATAATTTCGGAAGAAATGATGCGAGTTATTTTCTATGATAATATAAAGGTACCCACAACGAAATGACAATACGCAGCTACTTTGCAAGTGTTAACAAAGCATTTAACGACTGTAACATACGTACTCGTAGAAAATCTCATACGTACGTTATTTTGTTGAGAAAGATAAGAGAAAAGATAGGAAGAGAAACCAAATAATGATTATTGCAACATTTACTCACGGATAAGAAAGCAAATCGCTTTATGTCCTACCACTATACGGGATTAGATGATATTGCAATATATAAATGTATATATCTTTACTCTGATATCTTTTGAACTTTGTCGTTACTGACCGCATTTCAAGAATTGTTAATAGAACTGTTACTAGACTCTATCGTATTGGCGCTATCGTTTCCGGTGGACGCAGACACGCGTGACTGCTTCAGGCTATCCAAGTATTCTTGTTGTGACGTTGCCAACACTTGTGAAAGTATTTGGCTATCTTCCCAATCCGTCAAACCTGGAAAATTAGAAATTGATAAAAGTTACAACAAAATTCTTATAGTTTAATATGTATGATTTCTCTAGGAGAGAAAATCCTTAATTAATATTTACTTCGAGTGGACAGCACACTATAAATTTAAATTAATAATTACAAAAAAATATAAAAAAGTTATTTAGCATAAAATAACGTTTCGAGTAAACCTTGTTTCTTATATTTAAAACTGAATTTTAACTTCATTATAAACAAAAAAATGTGCGTGCGTATGTGCGTGCGTGCGTGTGTGTACATTAATGTTATTTATATGTCAAAAGTATCAAATTTTAATTTAAAAAATTGTAGTAAGTTGTTTTTCTTTCCTTAAAATATAGATAAGTCATCATTTAAGAATACATTCTCACCGAATACTTCAGGAGGGAGGCGATTGAACAATGAGATATCGGGTGACGCATTTGCTTCCTTGCTGCTTCCTGGTACAGGCTCTTGTGGCATCATTTTCGCCTCAAAATCCGACGGCAAATGGGATATGCTAGATCCCTGAGTCGACTGATGTTGTGGCGATCTCTTGTTATATCGTACTGCATCATTGACCTAATAATCGCAACAAACGTCTCTTACGTAAAATATCTTAAACTTTCGTTGTAAGAATGAAAGACAAATCGGACCTTTGGAGAATTACGTAAATTATCTTGGCTAGTTTGTGTCGTAGTCGGAGAAGAGGTATGGCTACGCTGCTGTCCACGACCTCCATGTGAATGAAAGTGTGAATGATTATGTTGCGCGCTCGTAACTGTGCTCGTACTGCTACTACTGGCTGATCGCTTGATTCAAAAGTCATGACTGAGTTTTTTTGCTTTAAGAAGAGTAATTAATATAACCATTAAATTTTTACTTACTGCCTTACGCATTTCATTATCACGCAACCATTGCAAATAGCTTTCACGGGCTACTTGCTCCTCGATAGCTTCATTAGTCGCCTCCCAGTCGGTAGCCTTTATTTTATCCTCTAGCATTGTCTTTCATAAAATAGAAATATTTGAATCTTTTAAATATTTGTAAAATTAAATAAATCCGTATTTATGATTTTATAACGCCAGCTTGTTTGCTGGGACGATTACCTGTTCAATATGCAATTCCTCACTCTGACGAACTGCATCTGATATCAGAGCGCGATCAGCGGCACCAGGATTATATGATGGTAAACCAAGTCCAACGCCTATAGTAGCTTTAAATGGATCAACTATACTATTATAATGACTGCCACGCTGATACGACAACCTGATTGGTTCGTTCATTGGTTCATCACTTTCCACCATGGTATGAAAAATATTGATAGGTTCTATAAAAAAAATGATTCAATAATAAGAGCAAAAGCAACAAGAGAAACCTTACAGTATAAATGAAAAAAGTACATACCAGTGCTATAACAATATAATTGGATAGTACGATTGTAAATTTCTGACATAGCTTGCATTTCTATATGATTTCCATGTACATACTCTTGTCTTTTCCTGTCTACATAGGTGCTAAAATCTTCCGCCACAAAATGCGAGAAAAATTCCTGATTAGAAGCCTGAAAGGAAAATAATTTTTCATCAAATTGCATTAAAATAGCATAACATATTATCCTACCTGTACTACACACTTACAATATAATCCATACAGTGTTTTCGAACAATACCATGCATTTCTTGATCGCCATAAATCTGATCTGCTACAGCTCTAAATAAACAAGCTCCGTCTTCCGCCATTTTTTTTAATAAAAGCCCCTTTTTCTTCAGACGTTTCTCAAACCATCTATCTCTCTAGATTATTGAGGATACAGAATGTAATGTGTTAAGTCTGTACCAGATTAGAGATTGAAAATGAGACTGAATTTAATCAGAAAAAAGAAAACCAATATCACAAGTTTAATAAACTTTACTTTGACTGATTAAATTCAATTTCAGTCTCAATTTCAATTTCTGGTTTGATACAAGCGTTAGATGGGGTATTGTGTATTTATACGAAAAATATTTGATTTAACAATACTTACCTCTTGCCATTCGGCTAAAGTAAGATTATTTTCAGTACGTCCTGTATACTCATCTCCACTATTGTAGCCAGTTGCCAGCTCATCTAAATTTGAGGCATTTCCGACAATGCTTACTCTTCCACTTACGTTAGTATCCGTGCCTAAATAAATCGAATTTATTACCTTGCATTCCATATTTGTAACCATCACAATTTTATTTTGGTGGTTGGTGATCTGTTGTATAAGTTAAAAAAATATTTTTTTTAGTAAACCTTTCATTACCTTGTGGACCATTGCAAGAAGCAGCAGGTGGAGTAGCCTGACTCGTTCACGCTTTGTGCGTGAAGGTCTACCAATACAGCTATTAAAAGATTAGTAGATCTCTTATTAAATATAAACATAAACCTATACTGTAAAAGCGTGTAAAATACCTTCCGCATTTCCTATTTTATGTAAATTATATTACAACACACAAGTGCATTTTATAACATCCACTTTTAGTCCTTGTGCCTTTTTCAAATACCTGTGGGGACTGACTCTCTGTCTGTGACGTTTACCATGACTTGGACCACTCCCATCTTCAAAATGTTTGTCTTCGCGGCGGTCAACGTTTGTCTGTAATAAAAATCGTATCTTAGCAAGATATATCTCTCCAAAATTTTTTGACTAATTATAAAATCCTTATTCTGTAACTCTTAGGTCCATTTCCAAAACTCACAATTAACTCTTAACCGAGGTTCAACTTATTCATTGTCTTTCTAATTCTAGAATTGGAAAGAGATGAGAAACAAGTTGAACCTCAGTTAAGAGTCAACCGTGAGTTGTGGAACTGGACCTTAATGGTAGTAATGATATCGAAATACTGTTGCTGCACAGATTACATATATAGTAAAAAAAAGCTGCACAATGGCAATATAACATTGTTATGTAATACAATATCGTTACTGTCGTTAAGAATTATAGAATAAGAGTCTAAGCAATCAATTGTACAATTACTGACTGTGTATAGCGCAAATATTATTCATGCATTGTTAATTCTTTTACTAATGTCCCTACATTCGTTAGCAATCACATTATTTTTCAACATTTAATATTTAAATCACTGTCAATAACACAAAATGATCTATACAATACCAAGACTATCCAAAGTAAAGGGAGGGGTAATCCTGTGTGCGTTATACCTCGTACGAGTTGCCAGTTAACACGAGAGAACCGCTATGAGATCCATGATCGCTTTGGACTCCATGTAGATCGACGGCAAAGCCGCTGGCGCCCCGTACCTAGTCAGCGAGTTGGCAAAACTTCTGTTTTAAAACCTGCTCCTTTTAAGCAGAGAGACAGAGCAAAGTCCGGAAATCGCGTTCCGTCTCTCACCTGATAAGGACTGTTCGGGTGCGCAATGCTGCCGGAACTGTGCTCGTTCTGCACCCCGTGATGGACGTCGACCTCGGATCCGGCGCCTCCCTCGCGCGTCCTGTCCTTCGACGCATTCGCCTTCTTCTTCGATAAAATTGTCATGATCTCGAACGATCAATTCCTTCTTTATCTCTATCTCTGTCTCTCTTTCTCTTATTCTCTCTTTCTCTCTCGCTATCTCGTCCTCGTTGTGGAGCGATACGATACGTCACAAATCGATTCACGATCGTTTCGTGATCGCACGCCGCGTCACCGTGAAGCAATCCGTTCACCCTCGCGATCGCCAGCTAGACCGTCTGCACTCTGCGTATCTATTACTTTTTTTTTCCTCACAGACGAGCTAAAGAATAGAGTTCCTCACGGACGACCGCTCGCACCTTCCGCACTCTCTCCAATCCCACGTTTACGTCGACGTCGTTGCGTTAATCGTACGACGAGAAAGTTCGGTCAAGATAACGTGGTTCCGTGGCCGTTCAACATGTCCGAATAAAAGCGACACGATGTCGTCGATCGCTGCTATGCCTGGAATGTTTTGTCAGACGGCCATATTCGTTTCAGCTTCGAAGTAATTAGAACCAATCGGGGCACAAAGAACACTTTGGAGAATGTGGGCAGCGACAGTAGCGACAGGCGCGGGAGATCGCGGCATATAAATTAGGGCCTGCGCACAATGGAAGAAATATTTAGAAGAAACAAATAAGTATTGAGATTTCAACCTATCATAAATCCGAACTTAATCTAAATCTACAATGGCTGCGTTTAGCGGACTCAACAATAGAGGCTGTGTTCCAAATTTACTGCCAGCACAGAAAATGCTACAGTTTACGTTACGTGCACTATAGATTTTCAGTACTGGCAGTTAATTTTGGAACACAGCCTGAGTGAGCGCTTGCTGTTATGCGGGGTCTACAATAGAAGTCGTAGCGGTCGTAAGGTTTTAAGTCGTAGAAAATTGACTAATCACAGTCGAATATGAGAAGAATAATCAACTGTGATTGGTCAATTTTCTACGACTTAAGATCCTACGACCGCTACGACTTCTATTGTAGACTCCGCATTAGGGGCTGCGCAAGCGTCAATTTTGATCACATGATCTATTTTGACGCTTAAAATGAGCGTCGAGCGTCAGCATGAAAAGGTACCTTTATGGCTCCTGCACACTGAACGCGGAAATTCTTATTCTCTTTTCCCTATTCCTTTCATTATGCGCAGCCCCTTAGATCATCCAATCAGCATTTTAGATCTGGAAGAATACATCAATAGGAGTGGCACTCGTTTGACACGTTGGTATTGAGCACCATTCACAGCGATCGATGCCTAGGGACTTTCCACTATTCAAGCGCTGTGAGTGATTGGTGCTCAATAGCAACGTGGTAAAACGGCTACCATTCTATCAATGGCTGCGTTCAGCAGACTCAACAGTTTTGCAACCGTTTTATGATTGTCTGCTGAGATAGGACCATTATTCTAGATCTAAAAGTATGATCCAATTAGCGCGAAGGAAACTTCCAACAGTTGCAAAACAACCGTTCTGCTGAACGCAGCCATTGGGTGCATTCAGAATGACAACCGCTTACTGAGCGCTCAGTGAGCTCTTGCATCTGATTGGCATATTCCATTAGAGCTAAAAATATAGACCAAACAGGTACAAGAGCTTACTGAGCGCTCAATGAGCAGTCGTGCTTCTGGATGCACCTACTAAATGATTATTTCTTATGGCTTAAGCAGGGTTGGTAAAAAAACATGTTTTAAATGTATTTTAAACAGTTTAAAACATGCTTAGTTAATATTTTTAATATGTTTTAAATGTTTTTTTATAGTACCGTTTAAAGCATATTTAAAGCATTAAAAACATATTTAAGAAGAAACACAATGTTTCATTCTTAAAAAAAGCATTAGTCTTTACCAACCCTAAGCTTAAGATTTAAAATACCTATTGTAGATCAAGACTGCCGTAAAAATTGACCAATCACAGTCAAACGAGAGGGGAATAATCGATTATGGTTGGTCAATTTCTTGCAGATTACGGCCAGTATAAACGATCCTTAAAGTTATTACACATACAAAAATTTTAATGAATTTTAATGAATTTTATACTAAAATCGAAAAAAAGTTAATTAAGTTTTCAACTTTTTTCGATTTTAGTATAAATTCCACTGCACCACCTAATTTTGCGTCTATTTTAATTCTGTAAAAGGATTTTTGATTCTGTTTAGCTAATTCGAAGATTTTTATGTGACCATAATGTCGATAATTTGGTCACTCTAGCAACCCCCTATTACTGATTATTAAACAACGTAATTTTAAAATCCATTAACTTTTTTATTATTACAAAAAAGTAATAAATCGTCATCTTCTCAAATTAACAGTGATGATAACGCGTTACTTTTTTAAATTAGTAATGAGAAATGGTAACAAATTACGTACTTTTTACAAAAAGTAATTGCAATGTGTTACTTTTTTAAGGTAACAACAGGTAACAATCCAACTCTGATAATAGGTTATAATTATATAAGTCGAAAATATATATATTCCCAAAAATACTTATTTCTTTATTTTTAACACATGTCATGAATACGTTTCATTTTGAAACACGTCATAAGTATATGTTAATAGGCGTATGATATATTGTGAAAAATATAAAATAATGGCTACGTTTACACCGTGCGCTTAGTCCGCGACCTATACGATAGGTGTCTTTGTTTAATATACAGGATAAACAAGGATGTCTATTGTATAGGTCGCGGCCTAAATGCACGGTGTAAACGTAGCCCATAATATACAGGGTGAGTCATTAAGTGACAGATCCAAATATCTCCAAAAATACGCCAGATACAAAAAAATGGTTTAGACAAAAATTGTAGAGGACAACGGGGGACATCTAACTGTGCTAACAGTTTTTACCTTCAGGTCGATTTTCAAGGTTATTTGAAGGTCATGATCATTTTTTTAAATGGAATTATATGAATTTTTTTTACATAATATGATTCCTCTAATTATTCTGCATATAAAAGTATTAAGGTAGCGATATCAAAAAACCAATAGTTTACGAGATATTTTATATTTCATTGTGGCACATATTGACATAAAATATTAAATAATTCGTAAACTATTAATTTTTTGATAACCAAAACATACCTTAATACTTTTATGAACAGAATAATGAGATGAATCAATTAGTGGAAAGAAAACACATAGTTGCTTTAAAAAAATATGTATGCAAAATGGATAATTTTTTAAATAAGCAATTGTGTCATATAATTCCATTTTAAAAAATGATCATGACCTTCAAATAACCTTGAAAATTGACCTGAAGGTAAAAACTGTTAGCACAGTTAGATGTCCCCCGTTGCCCTCTACAATTTTTGTCTAAACCATTTTTTTGTATCTGGCGTATTTTTGAAGATATTTGGATCTGTCACTTAAAATGACTCACCCTGTATATACATAAAGATCAATGACCAATGTTCTTTATACAATCGAGTGAGTTTGGACGTAATATATGACACATAGTTGCTTTCAATTTAGACATTTTTAGATTTTATCTCATCTGAATATTCGGGAATTCTGTGTGATATAACCATTGACATACAATTCAAACATTTTTCTGACATCATGCGCTGGCATTGTAATTCCTTTATTGTTTCTTTTAAGCTCGTTATGCAATTTTTAAAACGTTGAAGCTGTTGCCTTTGCATTTGAATTTTATGTCGTCTCTTCTTTAATGTTTCTTGACTCTTTACGAGCTTCTCAATTAGTTTTGATGGAGAAATATGATAATGATGATCAAGGTTTACAATTCCACTCTTATTAGATGTCAATAGTCTGTCTATATCTTCATCTGTAAAAAATGAAAAAAATTTCATGAAGGACTTTTTCATATTAATTATTATTTTATTCCATTATTATGTATGTTTCATCATACTAAATAATTCTTTAGAAATTGGCATATTCTTATATTCATAAGGTCTGTTCACGTTGCTTGCATTTTTTGCATTCAGCATCTTTGCTTTTTCCTTTAACACTCGAATATATATTTATCTCATTTTAAAAGCAAAAATTTTAACGGATTTTAAGCAATGCGGACGGACCTATAGAAATATATGAAATTTAATACTTTGATTTATAGCAAATTCGGTCACTTGCATTAAGTCTTATGTCCATGATGTTAGAAATTGGTGCAAGATCTCTAATCGAAAAAAAATTAACAAATCACATTTGAACAATTCGATCAAATGACTAATTGATCATGGACATAAGGTTTTTATACCAGATTAGTGCATACTAAATACTTATATATGAAATCAGCAAAGTTAATATAGAAGCATATAAATATTTTAAACATTTAAATACCTAATAATGATATTATCACATTACGTAACAGAATATACACGTATTATGTTATTGTCAAAGTTGATTAAATTATGCTGCTGCATTCGAATATTTAATATAAAACAATTTTTAATGTATACTAATTCAATGTAATTGAATTGACCAAATTCACCATTAAAAAGAAGACTTACAAATTTCATATCTTATAATAAGACTAATGAGAAAATAGTTACCATCTGAATAAGTTTGGATGAATTTATTGCAAGAAGTCTTTTGTGGAAAATCAGACTTATTATCATTGAATTGTATCTTCTGATTCTGTTTTAAATTCTGATCAAACGTTACTTCATGAAGAGAAACATTTTCTGTTAATATCAATACAAATAAGTAGAATATAACTATATTTGTATTTTAATATTTTTATTTCAATAATTAAAGAAATTCATACAACATAAAAATAAAGATTTTACCTGACATTATAATATTGTTAAAACAGTCAACCTTATTAAATATCGTTGGAATGCTTCCATCTTTTAACGTCAAATACTTTTCTCCTACCTTGCGTAAACAAGTTTGCTCAAAATGGTCTGAACATAAAACACTGCTTTTGTCTGGAGTCCAATTCTTGATTCCCATACTATCAAGCCATTTCTTTAAAAGCTTTGATTTGTCCAATGGAAATCTAAGTTTACAATATATACAAAATTATATTAAGTTATATTTCTAATTCAATTTTTTTTAATCTTACTTGAAAAAGGAATATCCTGATTGACGTATACGTTTCCGCTTACAATATGCACAAAAACGAGGTTTAAAACGCATTGGAATATTGTTTCAATTGTATTTTAAATCTTGAACAATCGAGCAATCTTCTGTGAAATAATTAAAGCATAAAACTATTAAGTTTGATGTTAAATTTTTTACAGAAAAAATATTTAACTACTGTTTCTAAAAACGTTGAGAGGAAATTGACAAGATATTTATTAAGAATACCTTTCTTCAGCTCTAATTTCGATAAAATTATGCTCATTCGATGCGTTTATGCACGAAATGAAAGAAAAAAGTGGGAGAAAAAAGTGTCGATCTACCCTGCGGAAGGAGATATTAATTGTAGAAATTTATCAATACCATGTAGAAGTTTGCTATTAAGGTTACGAAACTTGGTCATAACGACATAAATGTAACAAACTGCGCATGCGCCATGGTGATGTTGCATGCTTGGGCTGCGTTCCAATTGACGCTCACAACGCTCGTGGAATCATTTCATCCTTGTCGTTTATCAAATGTTAAACAAG